ATTCTGAAGCAAATTAACAATCGAACCTTTGCTCAATTTGTAAAAATAAAAGAGTTTAAATTTAGGCAAGTGTTTTTTATATATATATTTCTTTCTACACGTTGCAAATTACTAATATTTTATTAATTGACAAACAGTCAAAATTTTGAGTTCAACAGTTTTTCCATGTGGCAATTCAGTCTTAGGAGCCATGAGTGCAATCGCCACATTACTGCTGGAATATTATGATTCTCTGTATTTTTATAGGTATTATGCTGTTGTGACACTGTCTGATTGGTTAGATGGCAACCAATCAGTGTATACTATGAAATTCGACTATATTCTGGTGTAGTTAATTTTTATACAATAGCGAGGGAGCAATCTCATATTTGCATATTATACTAATTGTGTTCATTGTTGTATATAATATGTAGAATGCAACTAACATGATGATGTTTGCACCATCTTGAACTTTACATAACTCCTAACTATTTTCGCGGCCAGTGGCACAGCGGTATGTCTGCGGACTTACAACGCTAGAAACCGGGTGTCGATACTCGTGGTAGGCAGAGCACAGATAGCCCATTGTGTAGCTTTGTGCTTAATTTCAAACAAACAAACCTAACCATTTTCAAAACATTCTTGTCAAAACAACTTTCTGTTGTAGTAATAGCCTATTTGTTTAAAACAAAGCAAATTTATAAAACCGGCTTCCGTTTACTTCCCATATTTTGAAAGTTCTGTCTTTTGTTTATTGTAACGTGTTGTAGTTTTTTAGTTTGTTTGAAATAAACCTAACTATAAAAACAACTTATGTTTGCGTATCGTAATGTGCATGTTTATTTATGAAACAAATGAATAATCGAACTTTTGCTAAGTTTGAAAAAATTAAAGAGGGTAAATATAGGCACGTGTTTTTAGTATTTTATAATTTTTTTACGCCTTGCAAAGTACTAATCTTTTATTGTTATTAATCACATTTAATAATATTTTAACTGCAAGTTAACAATGTCTGGTTTTAAACACAAGACAATCATTGTTCTAATACAAGTCTTGTACATAAAATGACCAAAGTACTGTATATCGTAATTGGCGAGCTAATCTGGGATGAAATGTCTTTGATAGAGATCTTGATATTTCTACATTTTTGAAAGAATTGACCATGTTTAAAAATTAACTTAATCAACGAATAAATAAAATGCTAAAATGATTTTAAATCAACAATCCTTAGTAATATAATTCTCAGTATAATACATTTAATTAAAGCAATCAAAATAAATACCCAACAACAACATTTATTTCAAACAAAACTGATATTATAAAAAGCTTCCATTTAGTTCCTGATTTAATAAAAGTTTAAAAAAAACAAATTTATAAAAACGTCTTTCGCTTACGTCACGTATTTCGTTTAGAAAAAAATACTGTAAAAACCGCTTTTGTTTATTTTAATATATCTGATTTTTTTTAGTTTATTTAAAATAAGTGTAATTATAAAAACACATTCCGTTTATTTTCCCATGTTGTAAGTTTTTTGTTTTTTTACGTGACTGAATTAGGGACTGTTTCATGAAGTATGAGGTTATTAGTAGTGGGCAGTACAGAAAGAATAGAACAAGAACATGCTTACCAGGTATTAAAGTAAAGGGCATTACAGAGCTTGTTGACAGCTTAATTTCTGGTATCAATAAGCGTTCTCTTTTTATGTAGTAAGCTAGAAGAGAATGATGTTAGAAATTGCAATTGGGAAGAGATAGTTAAAAATTTGAAAGCACTTCCTAAGAGGTTTTAGGAATAGAACTGACTTGTTGCCCCCTTTCGAGAGAGTGCTTCCTCGAGATAGATATGGGAACAAATTACTTGGTAGGATTCAAAGCATAGATTGAACGTTATTAGACATAAAATGTTATGCTTTCTTCTGGTGCAACTATTCCTGGAGTCTAATAGGTGGTGAAAATTCAATTTTTATCGTTTGTTTGCAGCACCTTGTTATTAACAAGAGTCTATAAACTAGCTTAAAGGTACCCCAAAATGCTTGCTAGTTCTGAGTAATGTGATATTAAACTAACAGTGTGAAATATGGAAAAACCCTCATTTCTGGAAAAATAGAGTGTTAATACAAATATTAAAAATGATATAATAACACGATGATATTATAGTTATTGATGACAATAAAATACTTTTTGTAAACATAAACGTAAATGAAAATATAACAGGTTAACTTAGAATATTGTTAGTCACTTCTAATACATAGAAAAAACTCATTAAATTTATGATGCATCATAGGCAAACAATGAGTAATTGTAATGACATGAACATTTTAGGCTTAATGATCGTAACGACCTAAACAATGTACGCTTAGTAACTGTAGCGATCGTAAGTTTTTACACCTAGTGAATGTCGAAACCAAGACATTCTAAACACAGTAACGGCAATGATCTTATTTTTCTACACCTAGTAACTATAGTGATTTTATCTTTCTACATCTGGTAACTGCAGTGATCAAAACATTCTATACACAGTGACTGTAGTAACCTTATATTTCTATACCTAGTAACTGTAGTGATCAAAACATTATAAACAATGTACGCTGAGTAATTGTAGTGATCGTAAGTTTTACACCTAGTGAATGTAGAAACCAAGACATTCTAAACAGAGTAACGGCAATGATCTTATTTTTTCTACACCTAGTAACTGTAGTGATCAATACATTCTATACACAGTGACTGTAGTGATTTTATCTTTATACACCTAGTAACTGTAGTGATCAAAACATTCTATACACAGTGACTGTAGTGATCTTATCTTTCTATACCTAGTAACTGTAGTGATCAAAACATTCTATACACAGTGACTGTAGTGATCTTATCTTTATATACACATTGACTGTAGTGATCTTATCTTTCTATACATAGTGACTGTAGTGATTTTATCTTTCTATACCTAGTAACTGTAGTGATCTTATCTTTCTATACATAGTGACTGTAGTGATCAAAACATCCTATACTTAGTAACTGTAGTGATCAAAACATTCTATACACAGTGACTGTAATGATTTTATCTTTCTATACCTAGTAACTGTAGTGATCTTATCTTTCTATACACAGTGACTGTAGTGATCTTATCTTTCTATACCTAGTAACTGTAGTGATCAAAACATCCTATACTTAGTAACTGTAGTGATCAAAACATTCTATACTTAGTAACTGTAGTGATCAAAACATTCTATACACAGTGACTGTAGTGATTTTATCTTTCTATACTTAGTAACTGTAGTGATCAAGACATTCTATACATAGCGACTGTAGAGATCTTATTTTTCTATACTTAGTAACTGTAGTGATCAATACATTCTATACACAGACTGTAGTGATCTTATCTTTCTATACTTAGTAACTGTAGTGATCAAAACATTCTATACACAGTGACTTTACTGATTTTATCTTTCTACATCTATTAACTGTAGTGATCAATACCTTCTATACACAGTGACTGTGGTGATCTTATCTTTCTATACACAGTAACTGTAGTGATCAATACATTCTATACACAGGGACTGTAGTGATTTTATCTTTCTATACCTAGTAACTGTAGTGATCAATACATTCTATACACAGTGACTGTAGTGATCTTATCTTTATACACCTAGTAACTGTAGTAATCAAAACATTCTATACACAGTAACTGTAGTAATCAAAACATGCTATATACGGTGTTTATAGTGATCTTATTTTTTTACACATAGCGACTGTAGTTATCAAAACATTCTATACACCGTGACTGTAGTGATCTTATATTTCTACGCCCAGTGACTGTAGTTATTAAAATTCTCCACACATAGTGACGATAATGATAAAAACATATATGCAGTGACTGTAGTGATCTGAATATTTTACATTGGAGATTGTAGTGATCAAAACATTTCACATGTAGTGACTGAAGTAATCTGAACATTCTTCACTTAATACCAGAAGTGAGTTAAAACGTTTTACACTTAGTAACTGTAGTGATCCTACATTCTATATTAGTGATTACAGAGATCCTTGCATTTTACTTTCAATGAGGGAACCAGAAACAAGTGAAAGGCAAGTATTATTAGAGCTTAGATTATGTTTAGCACAGTATGTTGAACAAATCGTAAAAGCGCATATTTTCTTTCTTGAAGAATTGATTTGGTGTAGGAAGCTCCGCAGTCATTTGCTAACAATGAAGTTTTCTATTTAATTTAGAATTTATCATGCAATTTGAAACCCGCTGGCTTAAGTGAGAAAATATGGTTATACGTTTTGCACAAATTAATCTGTAAATCTTTCAGTTACATTATTATTCAAATTAAATAAATCAATTTCTATTATATTCTTTTTTACGCCATTCCCGGTAAAAAAGAAGAAAGAAAACCCGGTTCTGTCAACAGTTTCACTATTTAATGTGATGATATTCGACTATTAACTGATAAGGCTATGTTCATTACATTGTTAACTGATAAGGCTATGTTCATTACATTGTTTCCAAGCACACGATTGTTTAGCGTTGCGAAATCCACAGCTCGTTAACCATGCGTTGTCCAGTTGAATTCAATGTACTCGCTGCTATTACAACAAAACAACTTTTGGGTCAAACACACGCCGTGTTCTTGTAAAATTTCTACAAACGCAGGTCCCTGTTTCGTGTCTAGAAGTCGTGTGTTTTCATAAGCTATATATACTCGTGCGTCCAGGTAAACTACAGCTTGCTCATAACGTAAGCAGATCTTCTCGACCAGTATTGGTGGTTGTGTGTGTGTGATGCCTGGGGGATCTAGAGCAAGGTGATTATTCGGGTGCTAGGTACTGCTATAAAACTTCAAACCAAAAGCTGTCAGACGGCATTTCATAGTCGTCGTGCGAAGTCACGGATTGTATCAAACGGACAAAGCTTGCTTTACACGATCTTGGTTCTCGTCTTAATAAGATTCGAGATTTAATAAGTTAACCGATATGGCGGTGAGATCGTCCTGTCGATTATCTGCTCTCTTTTATCAGGAATTGCGACTTGTTATGAAAGGTTTCACGTGCCGTCCTGCTTGCATAGAGAGAACCCTTACGACAAGCCTGACGTCATCTGTACCCCAACCAGCTGAAGCCAAGTGTCCGTTCTATCACCGTCACCAAGAGTCTGCCGAAGCTGTGTCGTGCTCCGTAGACTTTCCCTCAGAAAAACCTTACGAAGCCATTCCATCACCCAAGGGACTGCCCTTGATGGGGACAACGTTTGAACTCTTGTCTAGCGGGGGTGCTCCGAAGATCCATGAATACTGTGACAAACGACATAAAGAGTTAGGCTGTATCTATCGCGAGAAACTAGGGTCTGTTGAAGCTGTTTTCGTAGCAGACAGCGAATTGATTCAAAGCATTTATCAAAACGAGGGCCGCTACCCAATGCACTTGGTCCCCGAACCTTGGCTGATCTATAATGAAACCAAAGGAATTCAGCGGGGGTTGTTTTTCATGTAAGTTAGTTTTACTATGTTAGTTTAACGTGTATACAGTCTACTCTTACCAACTGTAGTTATCTTAACAGTTTACAAGACTTAGCAACTCTAGTAATCCTTACGTTCTGCATTTAGCAGTTACAATGATCTTAACATTTTACACTAAGGGATTACAGTGATCCTAATGTCTAAACTTAGCCACTGTACTGATCATAACGTTATATACATAGCCACTGTTGTGGTCCTAACACTGTACACTAAGAAACGATAGTAATATTTACGTTCTACATTTAGTGGCTAACATTTTGCCTGTAGTGATTGTAATAGTCCTTATATTCTATTAGCCACTAAATGTAGAATATAAGGACTATTACAATCACTACAGGCAAAATGTTAGCCACTAAATGCATTTTGCCTATAGTGATTGTAATAGTCCTTATATTCTACATTTAGCGTTCTATTCCTTACGTTTTACACTAAGAAACTGTAGTGACCCTAACAGTGGCAAGTAAAACTAAATGCTTTTAAAGTACGAATTATTTAACCTGCATGTTAAAAATTAATAAAAGTTTTCATTTATTTATTTTGGAAATATTCAAGGCTATCTGCGCTAGCCTTTCATAATTTTGGTCTAATAGACTAGTTGGAAGGCAACTGGTCAACAGCACTTACCGTCAACTTTTGGGCTACTCTAATCGAATTGAAGAATTTGACCGCCACTGTCTAGTTTATCCTTGGCCCCAAAATACTGCAACGTCAACCATGGACCCTTTGATTCACGGTAGGACATGCTAACCTTTTATCCATGCCTCGCCCCATGAATAAAAGTAAGGTGAAACTAAAGGGGAAATTGAATTTAGTTCTTTCAACAAACCTATAAAGCAGCACACACATTTAAAAACACGCCTATTTACTTATCCTTGACTGACATCGAAGTAAATAAAATATAAATTATATTTCAAAAAAGCAACAACTTCTGTTTGCGATCTTGGATAAACTTGACCTCATTTTGCTTCATGATCTTATTTCACTTGATGCCGAAAATATGTATATGTTGGGATGCTTGTTAAGCATAAAATTTTCGTAAATTTCTCAACAATAAAGCTACTTTAACTACAGTTTACAAGTGGACTCTGTTTTGATGACAATAATACAATGTCTTTGAATAGGGACGGTCCCCAATGGAATGAACGGCGCAAGAGCCTCAACAAAGTGTTCCGTCAACAAACAGTCTCAGCTTACGCCAAGGTGTTCAATGAAGTGATCAATGATTTACTTCAGAGGTGGAGAAAAGTACGTCGTGAAGATGTGGAGTTAATAGACCTGGAGAGGGAACTTTATAGCTGGTCCATTGACTGTAAGTTTATCTTCTTGAGATTTTGAAAACAGTTTCACAGAAGAGCAAGTAATTAGGAGTATATTAGGTTTACGTATGTTACTTACTGAAGTTTCAAGCATATCGCACTTACGCGAATTATTCATTTTAAGTACTACGTTAAATATATTATTATTGTAGAAATGAGCACATTGCACCTATATGTGCTAGTGTTATTGCGAGTACATAGCACTTACGTGTGCTTCTTATTATAGTTACGAAAATATTGCACTTACGTAATACTTATTGTAGTTAAGAGCATGCTATTCTTACATGTGTTATTTATCGTAGTTACGAGCACACTGCACTTACGAGTGTTATCTACTATGATTACCCAAATGTTTTATTAACGTGTGTTATTCAAGTACAGTTACGTATTTAGATGTATTGTTATGAGCATATTGCACTTACATGTGCTATTTATTGTAGTTATGAACTCACATGTATATGCATTAAGTAGCTCCAAAGATACCTTGAGGTGAAACTTTTAATGAACATTGGCACATTAGTTCACCTTTTTATTGTAAAAATAAACTCATGTTCTAACCATTTGCACTGTTTTACAATATCACCTGTTGTAAAATTTATAGGCCTTCTTGTTGTAGTTTACAAGTTAAATATAGATACAATTTGATATGAAACTTGAGCTCTTTTTTCTTTTTTTACAATTGTGGTAGCATCATGTACTGTAGCAGGGCATTCGATTCAGCACCATTAATTAGTGTCCTGTGGTACATAGACATTTTATAGAATTTCTAATTATACTTCGACATAAAATAGTACAGCTTGAACACATTTGTATTTCTAAGCTGTTTATTTACAAAAATACTTGACCAGATAACTCAGCCATTATTCGAGTAAACATCTTTCACTTGGACGTTTAGAATATTGATGAAATAACTTTATAAAACTTTCTTCAATTTGCAAAGTTTTCATGATTTTCCGATCGTCTATATAATTAATTCGTAAGGAGTTCCAGTGGCAAAAATGGTGCTTTATTTAAAACAATAGTATTAATGAAGATAAGTTAGTATATTTCACTGAAGATTGAACTTTGTGATACTTCTTCTGCCTCAGTGTCTCCTTCCTTTCGAGGACCGGGTGTGGCTTAGTGGTTAGCGAGCACATACTGCGAATCCGTGAATTCATGGCTCGCAACCCGTTCCCGCAAGACCGTACCCCCGCATTTGGGGCAATATTATGAACTGTTAGATTGTCGTATTTCACTGTTCGATTAGGTAAGAGTAGCCAAAGAGTTGGCATTGGGTGCTGTCAACTAACTACTTTCCATATTGTTCATCTATTCAAATTAGGAACGTCTATGCGCAGATAGCTCTTGTGTAGATTCGCGCGAAGTTTTGAAACGAACAACAAAACTCTCTTCTGAAGCCTAATTGAATAAGAATATTTTATGACTAAGTTTTCATTCTACCTCTTAGTAAAAATGGGAAACTTCAACGTTTTTGACATAAATTTGATAAATTAACTAATTCTTTTTTCTTTTTTTTTTCATTTGAAGTGAAAAGTCCTCATACCCCACCCTACGGCAGGATATAGAAGCTTTTCTGCAGTACAGAAAAATCATGCCAAAAGTATAGTTTATCAGGGGCTTCTCCAAAGCTATTTTAATTTTACCCTAATAATTGAACAGTTTAAAACTTATAGACTTCCATCGAGAAACATTCCATTTATTATAATACATACTCATTAAATTCAGGTTTCTGCATAATACATAATCATTAAATTCAGGTTTCTGCATAATACATAATCATTAAATTCAGGTTTCTGCATAATACATAATCATTAAATTCTGGTTTCTGCATAATACATAATCATTAAATTCAGGTTTCTGCATAATACATAATCATTAAATTCTGGTTTCTGCATAATACATAATCATTAAATTCAGATTTCTGCACTATTTTAACTGTGACATTGATAAACATTGTACATTTCTTTTACACATCTGTGAGAAAATTTAAAACAATTTGTTTTTGATTTGACACTGTAACACAGGTTCATGATTTTTACTTACTACTTTAACGCAGTTTCTTGTGTTTCACGTGGTAATTTAATGAAATGTATTGTTTTTCACGTGATAATACAATGTCATTTCTTGTTTATCACATGAAAATATAATGTAATTTTTTCACATGGTTATATAATAAAATATCTTTTTTTTAACTTGGTACTGTAATGCGGTTTTTCATTTTTCAATTGGTACTGTAACGCATTTATTTGCTTCTCACTTGGTATTGTAACGTAATTGCTTGTTTTTAGCATGGTAATTTAATATAGCTTCTTGTTTTTAGCATGCTACTGAAGCGCAGTGTTTTTGTTGTTTTTTTCAAGCTACTATAGCACAATTCCTCTTTTTTCATTTGATACTGTAACGTAATTTCTTGTTTCTCATTTGGTACTGTAATGCAATTTCTTGTTTTTAACTTGATATTGTATACGTAGGTTCTTGTTTTTCACTTGGGACTGTAACACAGTTTCTTGTTTTCCATTTGGTACTGTAACACAATTTCTTGTTTTTCATTTAGTACGGTAACGCAATTTCTTGTTTTTAACTTGATACTGTATACGTAGGTTCTTGTTTTTCACTCGGGACTGTAACACAGTTTCTTTTCTTCTTTTACTTCAGCCTTAGGAACGATGATTTTCGGGCAGCGATTGGGATGTGTGACGTCTGACAGTAAAATCGAGAATATTTATGAATTCGTGCAGTGTGTTCAGCAAATCTTTACAGAGTCTGCGCATATGACTGTTATTCCCCCTCGTCTGGCCTACGTTCTAAAGTTACCGGTGTGGAAGAGGTTTGTTAAAGCAGCTGACCGGGCCTTACATCTAGGTGAGCCTATGGCTTCGTAAGTTACATTATGATTTTTCGGTTATCATTTATTATTATCTAATGTGGGTCTGTTAATATCAGTAGTTGATATTCAGGAAACCATCAGGTAAAACTAGTCTTAATCAAACGATAAATTTGCTAAACGTTCTCAGAAAATGTACTCGTTTTTTTTATTTCACCAGGTGACGCTAGCAACCAAGTATTTTGGATGTCGATATAAATTGAAATTTAAACAATTAATACATTTCAAATGTTTGCAATTCGGAATAATCTAGTTAAGTAAATATACTTTGATAAATTTACACTGTGATTAAATAACTAAGCATATTTTATTATCAAGTAGAAACCTTTTATGAAGCGTTTCTTAAAAAAACAACAAAAAAAAGACAAATGCAGGATCATTAGGTACTTCAGTTAATTTTAAAGTTAATATAGAATATCTTGTTCTACATTTACTTGTTTCTAAAATATTGTTTTTCTTCTACTTTCAGCGAAAACTTATGTAGATGTTAACGTCAAAGATATCCTCTCTAAGGCTGAGGTAGGAGAGCCGGTAGAGGGCGTTCTTAGTCAGTTACTCCTGGAAGACAAAATAGACAAAGAGGAAATAGTAAGAATTGTTACAGACCTATTTCTTGCTGCTGCGGATACGGTAAGAACAAGTTTTTATAGTAAGTGTGTTTTCTATAATCACAACCTTGAACTCTATTAATTGAAAACTGAACCCACTCTAAACTTTGACGTTTTAGTATTTTTTCTCGATCATTACTTAACGGTGAAACAGAGACGTCGCTCTGTGTTTAAAAGTTTCCCATAGGTGCGGGAATTTTCGGCATTTCAATATGATATCGATCATAGTTTTCCATTCTGATTTTTCAAGACACCAACTGGGGATTTGGGGCACTATCAGGTAGAATCGGAGCATGGGCCCTGTGTGCCAGTGTCTAGCGACGCCTCTGCAGTGAAATATATATATACGTATTAAGAACCACTTTTTTTAGAAGATAATAATAATTAGTTATCGAAATGCAGTTTCGAATAAACATAGATTAATCAGTAAACGAAATAAATAACGGAAGTCTTTTTTACTATTAAATTAGCCAACGGTCTTGTTTTTATTTTCAAAAAAGCATTACAAATGAAAGTTATTTCTATGAAAAGTAATATCAAAATTAAAGAGAAGATGAAACGTTATTTATTCACCGTCTGTTTTAATGTTGCAGGAAATTGTTAACGAAATCTTTTGTGACCAGTTTTTTTTTAATCTAATCTTAATATAATGTCTGTAAAGAAAAATATAACTTGATCTCAAATTCAAATAAATAATCTGAGAAGATCAGAAATTGTGGCTAGAACCATTTAAATAGACAAGTTAGTGAATAATATTTCGGTCTTAAAGATGAAAAGAAAAGGTTTTATGGTGATATTCGCATGATTGCAACGTGTTGAATGTATATAACGACTTTATAGGATATATGTACGTGACATCCGTGTAGTCTAATCAAAATATTCCCCCAGAACCCATTATGGATTTTAGTATTAAAATTGGATATACCTTCGAAGCACTGTATCACTCGTTGCTAGGCAACCACTCGTTATTTCACTGGCGCAAGCGAAGTTTTTTAGAAAGCTCTTATTGTTTGATTTAGGCTTACTTACAGAATGAACGTCAATTTAGCTCTGGGATATGTTTATATCAAATTGTGAATATTTTCGTGGTCATAAAGAGGAAAGAAAACTTAGAGAAGCAATTCTACTAAAAGAAAAAGGCATAACTAAAGTATTGAAGAAAAGCTTAATTATTTAATAAAATTTTCCCATACACCAAGTTTTGTAAATAATCATTTCCCTTATTTTAATAACCCAAAATTGTTTTTTACTATTACGGCATATTTAAACCAACTTTTATCGGGCATTTAATAACTGAGAACTTTCAAACTTCGACTGCGTTTGCTGCACAGGAACTATTGTGCGTTAGAGTTTTTTTTATTTCATCCTTTGTACTACGTATTACAGTTCTTCATTAGATTAAAGTTTAAAAAGCTGGTACGGGGTTGGGTGTATAAATGTGTGTTATCATTCTTCTTTGGTATCTAGTACCTATATATTTATTTTTCACTTTATTTTCTTCATGCTATACTATTAAGTTTTTTATTCTTCTCTTTTATTTAATTTATAACTGTTCTAGTTTTCAACTATTTATGTTAATGTTTGAAGTTATCAAAATATTCTGTGTACATCAATATTTCTGACTGAACTGATGGAAAACTAGCAAAGTGAATACTTTTATCTCACAAAAAGGTATCTTATTTTAAGTGATTATTATTAATTTGTTTTTGTTAATTCTGAACTTTTCCTTCACATTTATGTTTAAAGTATATAATGTGTTTGCTAAACGAGAGAAATGATATTTTGTCAATATAGGTGAGTGTTCGTTTTCATGTACATATTTTTCTACAATATATGTATATACACTTAGTTTTAGGATTGCCTGTTTAAAGCTTCCTTCCCTCTAGTCAATCTATCACTTCAAAATTAGGGGCGGCTATTGCAGATATTCACAAACAAACAAGCTTATTTCGTTATTTTTTTGTCGTTTTGAAGACATCACATGCCACCCAGTGGACTCTTTATATGTTGGCGAAATACCCTGAGTGCCAGAAAAAGGTAGTCGACGAAGTTAATCGGGTAATATCTCCTGGGCAGAATATCCAGGAAGTTCATCTTCAACATCTTCCCTATCTAAAAGCTGTAATTAAAGAAGCTCTTCGGTAAACACTTAATATATTTTTCTATAGTAACAGTGATCTCAAATGGTTATTTTAAGTAAAACTGCAAAAAGTACAAGTTTTTATTTCATTGGTAAGTTAGGAACGTAATGTCTTTTTTTTTTAATTCAAAGTTGAACTTCATATATATTAATTATGGAAACATTATCCATCGGTTCCATACAAGAAATAATTGGACTTAAAATCATCAAAACAAATGATTCGAAATATACTCAGAAATAAAGAAAGAAGGGTTCTAGTTGTTTATTCAGAATATAAAAAACTGGTTTTTAGTCGTTATTTTATAGATTTGTGTTATATTTTAACTTTCATAGGGTTAAAATAAGATTCTCTTTAGTATTCATTGCAAAAGTCTGCTTTCTTTTAGCTGCGTATGTTTGCATCATTTACACTTTTTTATTATGTAAATTATATTATAGTGTATACACTCTTCTACAGGCTATATCCAGTTGCTCCCTTTTTGACACGAATCTTGCCACAAGACATTGTTCTTAATGGATACAGAGTACCAGCTGGGGTAGGTACTATACCATGTTCTTCAAATAAATTTGAATGTATTTTACATTTATATATTGGCGGTAGTAACCATTTTATCTATTAACAACATAAATATACATGTATATATTACTTAACTGGGTTGCGGATAAGCCAAAATATCCGTCTCTAAATGCGAGTGGCGTCCTCTATCCGTGGTTGTACGCATGTGTATTGCCATGGTATTACATTATAGGCATAATAATATTAATAGCAAATAATTATGCATATTATCAATTTTAAAAAATCATGATATTTTGAGTCATGTTCCAATATTTCATTATTTACCGTTGTAACAGAAAGTTTAACAGAAAATGCAGATGATGGAGAAAGGTTCTCTTTTTTGTTGTTAAGTAAAGGGTCAATAAGCAAATAGATTAAACATAAGCCTACTGGGTCGCCTTAAATTCAACAAACACAAGTGTTGCTGCTAGTAATAATTGACAAATTAGGCTTATAATCTGCTGCTATAAATCATTTATAATGAGACAAGCAAGTCTTAATACACTAATAAATTATCAATACTGTAATAATCAGGTAAAAATAGGCCTATCCTTAAAGCAAACGTAATAAAATAGTAAATATTTATAGTCAAAGTAGGAAAATAACACTATTTTACTTTATTTAGGTCAATAGAGTAATAAACTAGTAACTTGATGCACAACTGATGTAGTCCTAAATATAAAAAAATAAGACATTTTTAGTACAATGAATACAAACAGTTTATTGCAGGAATTTCCATCAATCAGTACATTTCAATATCTGCTTGCTACATTTCATCTTTGATTATTCCATATTCTGTCCTGGTTTTAAGCGATCACGTCACATGGAAAATTCTGTGCCGTCCATATTCTCCTTCAAGCCAGTGTGAAGTAATGCAAATATCAATCCAACTATTTCTTTTCTGGAGCGAGAGGAAGAATATTTGCAAAAAACCTTCGGATGCAAATGATATCTTGCATTATTGGTTTACGTCTTAACGTACAACCAGTAATTTAAATTTCAACTCATGTACTTCAACAAAATTTAAAACCATTTCTCCATGTCTTGACATTTTCATTTCTCAAGACAACTTGGATAAATTTATAAACTTAATCAAACATTATGAGAATTGGAGTAATAACTCAACTGTTCTACAGTTTCAGTATGTCATTAAGAAGCTGGTTATAAAAACGCTCTCCTCCCATTTTGAACTGGTAGTTGTTTCTTACTGTCTGATGAAGAGAATGACCAACAAATAGGCCATTTCCCCTCGTTACTCCTAAGACATGAGCACCAGAAGAGGCATGCATTGATGTAGTTCAACTAATAGCTCCTACCAATATTCGACATAGCCTTTTCCATGACAACTGTCTTTTGTATGTCGAAAAAAAAAAAAAGAACCCCAAAATAAATTCTAAAGCAACAATATGTTTATCAAGTCTGTGACACACGTGTGCAACACTGTTCATCTATACCCAATTCTAATAAACTAGGACATTTTATCCAGGTGAAAGCTAGGAAACAACTTAGTGGAAAATAGCTGTTTCTTTTGATTGGTACTAACTTTTTATAGAGTTCGAACAGGAGTACCACGAGAGCCACTGTGTATAAATCATCTGAGCCATTGTACATTTAATCTAAAGATACGTCTGCTGAATCATGGAAATTTCTGAACCAAACCAATTATTTTAAAAAATACTTCTTCTATACACAAATTATCAAAAACAATTCTGCTAAGACACCATGAAATAGTGATATTATGTTATGGTAATAATTAATATTAATTGAAAAAAGGGCCCGGCATGGCGAGGTGGTTAGGGAGCTCGACTCGCAATCTGAGGGTCGCGGGTTCGAATCCCTGTCCCACCAAACATGCTCGCCCTTTTCAGCCGTGGGGGCGTTATAATGTGACGGTCAACCCCACT